AGGAAGCATACACCGCCGATGGTGCTCGTTTAAGGTTACCATGAACCCATATTTATTGGACCTTTTTACAGTGATAAGTGATAGTCGTGAACCCGAAGTATATCAGACGAAAGGAGTGATTACAGCAGATGATAAGAAAAGCCTCGAGGATGCCCCCTGAATGCGCTTTGACAATTGTGCAAACAAAAATGTCAATCTCGCAAATGCGAGCAGCTTCTCCCTCACGACGCAAAGCAAGAGTTCTGACAAGCTGGCTCATAATGCAGGCCAAGAGCCTGGAGCATGCGTCACCACGTTTAACGTAGACCTTGCAGGTATCATCAAATGTAGTCTGTAATGTAAGAACCGTCTTTCACTTCGAGACTAGTTCAGCTTCATTATAAAACCCCACGCCGTGTGCCATAGCCACAGTCGCGCCAGGACGAATCGCCGGGCCGTCCCGCCATTTCAATCAGGCTCCCATTCGGCCCAGCCGGGACCCTGCTCTCAATCGCCGTAATTACCCGGCCCTATGGCACGTAACCACGCCCCGGCGACGGCGGCGGCGGCGCGATCCTACAGTTACGGTGAGCAGGCCGCCGTCCGGCACCGGCACGACAAATGATCACCACCGCCCGAGGCGCCGCCGCGGGGCGTACCGGGTCGCCGGGTCACCTGGCGCCGCCGTACCGGGTCGCCGGGTCACCTGGCGCCACCGCGGGGCGTACCGCGTCGCCGGGTCACCCTGGCGCTGCCGTACCGGGTCGCCGGGTCACCTGGCGCTGCCGCGGGGCGTACCGGATCGCCGGGTCACCTGGCGCTGCCGCGGGGGCGTACCGGGTCGCCAGGTCACCTGGGGCGTACCGGGTCGCCGGGTCACTGGGGCGTACCGGGTCGCTGGGTCACCTGGGGCGTACCGGGTCGCCAGGTCACCTGGCGCTGCCGTACCGCGTCGCCGGGTCATCTGGTGCTGCCGCGGGGCGTACCGGGTCGGCAGGTCACCTGGCGCTGCCGCGGGGCGTACCGGGTCGCCGGGTCACCTAGCGCTGCCGTACCGGGTCGCAGGGTCACCTGGCGCTGCCGCAGGGCGTACCGCGTCGCCGGGTCACCTGGCGCTGCCGTACCGCGTCGCCGGGTCACCTGGCGCTGCCGCGGGGCGTACCGGGTCGCCGGGTCACCTGGCGCTGCCGTACCGGGTCGCCGGGTCACCTGGCGCTGCCGCGGGGCGTACCGCGTCGCCGGGTCACCTGGCGCTGTTGCGGGGCGTACCGGGTCGCCGGGTCACCTGGCGCTGCCGTACAGGGTCGCAGGGTCACCCGGCGCTGCCGTACCGGGTCGCCGGGTCACCTAGCGCTGCCGTACCGGGTCGCCGGGTCACCTGGCGCCGCCGCGTGAGCTGGGGTCGCTGGCCAACAGCCATTGGCAATCGACGGAGTTGACGGAGCCACTTATAATTATTAGTATACTTTTAGGTGGAAAAGGCCGCCGAAGTCAACACAATTTTTCTGTTAAGTTAACATGCCCCAAAATACGTTATGGTTTGATCACGTTTTCGCATCCTGTGCAGCACTGATTTAGATGCAGTTGACGGCCGCTATACCTGACAATTGTGCTCACAAACGCCAGATATGAACGAATCGACAGTTATATATTTCTTGGCTTGGCTCGGCATGGCCAGTGGTATGGCATGATTGGAATGACGCTATTACGACGTCATGGATATCTGGGTGGCCTTGACGTATTCTCCCGAAATAGTCTGCACATCTTCACGGGCGCGTAGCTCAGCAACGAGCAGGGCTCAAGTCTTATGAAGGTCAGGGCTGTGAACTGCACCGAACGATCTTCAAGATGACTTTTTGCGTTCAAAACCTAATACAAATTTGGAAAGCTCTCTTTCGGATGTGCTTTACACATACCAAAAAACAAGATTACATTTATGCATGGTAGTCGGTTCACACAGGATTTTTCAGCGTTTATACCTTATCCCATCCATTCAAGCACGTTGGGAGCGCGTCAAAAACAGGGGGCGCCTTAAGAACAAAACGTGGCATGTTGTACGCACATGAGGGCGCTCAAATTGGAATCCAAGAGCCGCGTGACATGCGAGACGGAAGCAAATTTGGTGCGGGGCGATATCAGCTGTCGGGAAAGTATGATGCAGACAGATGCACGTTTTTGCAGATGGGCGCACCCCCACCTACGCGCGTTCGACGTGATTAAAAAGCATGAGTCAACAGGCATCGAAAAGAACTAGTTCATCCAGCAAACGGACGTGGTGTCTGGTAAAGGATCAAGTAGCGGGTGAGCCTGGAGAGTGTAAGAAAGAAGCCATCCGTAAATCCCCAACCGAGGAACGCTATTTGGCATTTGCGTCTATAACAGGATAAACAGCACACAGTCTGCCAGTTTTCCCACACAAGCCCACACAGTGCATAGTCCCATAACAATTCCGTTCAGATATTGCTTCATACGTTACCATCTCAGCCCGAGATGAGAAAGAAAAAGGCAAGAAACGATGCGTTTTGCACCCTGAATTGAACAGCTGAAGCCACCCACACTGATTGGCGACATGTGCGCTTGCACCACCAACGCAATAAATGCACAGTGTAGAGTCGATATTCACGTTGAAGTTCGCACCTGCAAGACATCATTAACCTACATGAGGCAGGGATGATCTGCCCAAAGGGCTTCCAATTCTTATAAACTTTACCCGGTGCACCAGTCGCGGCCAAAACAGGGCCCCGCTAAGAGGTCGATGACCTTTTACGGTGCATCCCACAACACAGCGAGAGCGCCTCCCCATGAATCCAGCGACGTTCCGGCGGAGGGCGTGCAGGGAGGCGGGCTCGATCACTCATGACCGGGCAGTGTTCACCACCCAATGAAAGGACGAACGCTCTAATCAAGGACACGGATGCCGAGTAACACACGGTTGACAACCCTGATTCGGGAAAAGAATGCGGGAAGGAGACTTAACGTTTGGTTCAGCTGGCTTTCATACGCCACTTGCTGCCCGTCTGACTAGAAGATCTGCCCCCATTGTCTTCGCTTTCTCTCAACTTTTCGTTCTTTGCAAAACATCTCTATTTTTGCTGATCCACGGTGTTTCTCTCTACGTCTCTTCATGACTTCTCTTCGCCATTTTCTTTTTCCGTAAAATTTTCAGTGCTCCTGGGACCCGGCCAGTAAATTTGACCAGCCGTTCGTCCCACACTGTAGAGTGACACTCATCACCTCAGCCCTCAGCACTACTTGACCTTAATCCATTTGCCATTATCGCATCACCTACCACGGCACAGCTATTATCCCCACTCTCTGTCTGGGACCCCTTACTCCCCGTCACTCGCTGACCGCGGCTGTTCGTCTCCTGCTCTCTCGTGTGCTACTCCGGCTTCACATCTAAGACTCTGCATACTCGGGGGCCGTTCTACGTGCACGCTTGGGCAACTCGCTCGCCCCCTGGCTTAGGCTTTCATCTCCCTTTCTCGCCACACATATTGTCTAGTGCTGGCTCGCAGCTCTAGACAATGCTCAGGTCGTCTCGCGTCTAACCGAGTCGTTACGTTCGCCGTCCCAGCCAACCTCATCAATCCGTCCTTTCTGCAGCAGCTCCAAACATCGCTGCGCACGCCCTGTCTGCCCGAGCAGCCCGCCGCGGCAGCTCATCCTCTGCCGACTACCTCCGCGCCTCTAACCCCACCGCACGACGCCCGCCGCCGCCATGTAATTAACCGGAGAGGATCTGTGGGGCGTCGGCGCGACAGCAAATGATAATTCCGCTGTTAAACAGCTCCGGATGGTGGCAGTTGTCCGTAATTTCGCGCAAGCCTGAGGCGCCGCAGCCAGACGACACGCACCAATGGGCAGAGGCAGCGCGCGCTAAGTCTCGGTCGAGCAGCGCTCGTGTTTCAAGGAAGTATCCATTAGTGCCGCCTCGGAGGGAGAAAATGCCGAACATACACTGATTCGTGTGCCGAACACGCCATCCTTTTAAAAACTTTTAAAGACTAAAGACTGCTTTCGGGTTTTCTTGCGCGCTGCACGAATTCATTGCTGATGCCAGTTGTGGACTGCTGGTGGTGGTATTCAGTCACAATAAAGTAGAGGAAAATACGCGTGAGCACGCTGCCTAATCTTGACGCCATTGATGACACGCGGAATACTCCCATTGCATTGATTACGAGCATATCATGTGATCCAGTGCAACAAACTTAGTAATATCGATGAGTGTTAAAAATTGATCGGTCAAAAACCCGAAATCTTAACTATATATAGCTTCTCACTAAACAAAGCTAGATGCAGTATTATTTTTTACATTAGCCTAGTCACAGCTCAGGAATATTTCCGAACATAACAGACCAGCACGCCACTTTTGAAAGAAGGCAGTTCCTTCATGTAACTCGCTGCAGCGGCGAACAGATAACTGGCTGCAGCACTTCAACCCCCTTAAACTGGCATGTTAAGAATACCAAAGGCACTGGAAGCAGATTTCCTTGGCTCCTACCACTCATTTCAATAAACAGCCGACTACCTGATAAACAGATCCCCCAGATACCCGTCCAGAGCGCCGGAGACACTACGCATATTTGTGTTCTTACCTAATAGAAGAAAAGTGATGAAATGAAAAGTAATAACAAAAATAGGTAAAGAAGTGACAATGAAAAATGACAAAATGATGAATTTTATTGCAAGATGGTAAAAATAGGGATAACTGTCATAACTGACAGGAAATAAATGTCTGCACTGATGTTCTTATCGGGTGAATTAGCATGTACACATAATTTAAGCCAGTTCACTCTCCAGCTGTCGCCAGGCGTTACTGAGTCCTGAAATAGGTAGTGCTTGTCTTTCAGTTGTGAACACATCACACCTAAAATTTTCTCCTTGGAACTCCCGGGATTCGAACCAGGCCCTCCAACTGCGAGTGCATTCTTCTATAACTGAGCTAACCGAGCTGGAGTCGGTGGTTATTGCTTGCCTCGTGGAAAACCATCAGTACAGCAGAATACAGCAAAACTTACCTGAGCATCCAATCAGTAATGTGAAAATAAGGACCGGAGTCATCCTGGTTTGCTTCTCTCCAGTTTTGCTCAGTTCTGTAAAGAAGGGACAAGACAGCGTTACTACATTAAGCTCAATGGTTATGTTCGCTTTCAAAACGGCAGTGGGATTTATATATGGTACAGTTGCTGTGCCAAAGGGGCCTGGTGGATGAACATAAGACTCGCTTTCCACAACAATCCTGCCCTGTACGCACTGTGTCCTAGGGACACACCGCACTCACCACAGGAAAGGGACAGTGTTCCAGCGAGGACAGTCCGGTTAGCGAGGCCACCGCAGAAGCTGGGCTTAGGAATCATAGTACCCTCGGCAAAGTTTGCAGCATCGTTTAAATGTCTTTTATTGGTGCGAACACTCTACATTTTACCTCAACTGAGTAAGATCTCCTGAACCACAGCCCATCCAATCCTTGCAAATTCAATATATGCCATCTCTCGAGCACTGTTAAACGTGGTTACCAACTTTTCATGGCCAGAACGTAGACTCCGGTGCCGGCGCCTGAATATAACCATTCGAATAACACCGACCACCACAAAACTTACAGCGATGCCAGCACAAGTTTTCGACTAGAGGCGGATCGAGCTGGTTTCTGCATCAGAGGTTTCCCAAGCACCTTTGTCGCCCGCGCAGGCATTTGGGCAGTTGCCACGCGGAGCAGCCCCTACAGAGATGCTGGTGGCAGACAACACCCGCGTGCGGGGGTCGCCAGGGACCGGCCCTACCCGCGGGCTGGGGTGTGCGCCCCACGCTGCGGGGGTCGCCAGGGACCGGTCCTCTTCGCGGGGTGGGGTGTG